TAAGAGTATAGATGTACAGTAAATTTTTCCTAATTGACGCTCAGATTGCGCACAAAATTGGACAATTTGGGAAGAGGAGATACGATTATTCGAGCCTCACGGCTCGTTTTTATAGTCGCTGATTGTCAACAACTATAAAAACGAGTCGCAAGGCTCGAATAATCGTATCTCCTCTTCCACTGAATCCATTATAATTTCTTAATTTTATTAAGAATAATTAATGTTATATAACTTTTTGTCTTACAGTTTTAATTTAATTGAATAAAATACTTTAATTTTATGAAATTTTTAAAGCTTTTGGCGCGGCCAGTATCAAGTGTCACGTCGGGCACACATGGGTGACCTTAATGTTTTAAATTCCTTTCTATTGCAATATATTCAATGAATTTTACTAGGACGTTTAGAATGCTAAAGAGTTAAAATATCATCCAATATGATCAATTTTAACTTCCAAGTTTCAGGTTCATTAATTAATTCACTTTGATTTTGTGAGAATTTTCGGGGTTGATTTTCGACACTTATCGTGTTAAGAAAAACTACGTAAGTGCTTATAAATGATAAATGACAAATGAATATTATTGTTCAAATAAATGTTATATCGTATTCTTGGGCTCATAAATCTGTGCGAAGAGTATTTTGAAAAGAATAATTTTTTATGAAAATGAGAATAAAAAATATTTCGCAGAAATTTGTGGGTCCCAAAATACGATATAAATTTCAATTGTACTGTTTTTAGGTAGCATTGGTAGTTTGCGATTTATAAATCCTTACGTAGAAGTACCAGCTCGGATGAAAGAGGTTGATTTCTCTCTTAAAGTAGAAAATGGGCACGAGCAAGAAAGAGTATTTATAGTTTCAACAACTTAGAAATGGAAAATGTGGATGCGGTCATTTTAACCAGGACGATAGGTTTAGTGTTAAACATTTATGCGAAGTTTCATCAAACACCTGGGTTTCTTTATTAGAACACTATTGTTGAAGAGACTGGGACCAAAAATAACAATTTGACTTTGAATTACGATTATGGAAAAATTATTAATTTATTATGACAATTCCCAATTTTATTCATGAGTTTTTCGAAATATATTTTTGAAGGTGTTTCTTGTAGGCTTATTAATCTTTTTGTTAATCTGTTGTTTCTTAAGTTTTTGACGTTGCTGAATTTGAATATGTTATCAAAAGCGGAGACAGAAAAACGAAATATTTTATGGTTTAGGTGTTACACCGGTACATATTTTTTTCCATATCGTCGTGATGTAACCGCTACTTGGGGAAATCAGTTTTAATACTAGTATGCGGCTTCCATACTGATAAAAATACCGTAATATACATACAGGGTGTCACAAAAATGTCTCGTAATCCGAAAGTGGCGGGTTCCTCGGGTCATTTGAAGCAACTTTTTCCTTTACAAAAATTTTCTCCGAGGCACCGTTAACGAGTTATTAACGAGAAACAGTGATCAATGAGAGACGAGCTCGGCTGTCGCGAGCCGGCCGAGCCAACGGCGCCAGCGGTCGAGCGGTCGAATCCCAGCTCAACCGGCGCGAGGCGGCCGAGCCTACGGCGCTAGCGGTCGAGGCGGCCGAGCCAACGGCGCCAGCGGTCGAGCGGTCGAATCCCAGCTCAGCTGGCGCGAGGCGACCGAGCCAATGAGCGGAACTAGGCTTCGTGCGCTGGTTGACTGGGTCGCCTCGCGTCAGCCGTGCTCGATTCTTATTGGTCACTGTTTTTCGTTAATAACGGCGTCTCGGAGAACATTTTTGTAAAGGAAGAAGTTGCTTCAAATGATCCGAGGAACCCGCCATTTCCGGATTGCGAGACATTTTTGGGACACCCTGTATACTGATATGTAATGTTCATACCGATAAAAATTCCAAAATATTTTCCGGTATGATACCGGTATGAGCCCTAGGTTTGGTATCAATATCAATAATCGATTGTACAGTAATTGTGCGACTGATAATCGCAGCGCCTCCGCGGTCTTCTTTTGTTTTGCCTGTATGACGTCATTCCGGTATTTCGGTTTCTATAAAGGTTATGAAGGTACAATTGAGAAAAATACCGATGTAATACCAGCATTTCATATACCGGTATCAGTCTCTTATGAAAAGTGCAAGAATTAAAATGAATAAATAAGACACTTCTGATATAAGCATTGTTCTTAACTTATATTTTGTGAATATCGATAATTCTCCGATGTTCTGTTATGATTATGTAATCAGAATATAAAATTTAATACGATCATCTTAATGTCAACATCTCTAACATTGCTCGCGAAGAGAGTTTTGATGGATATTACTTGATATTTTCAAAAGCAGACAAAATGTTTCAATTATAGATATCATGGTTGATATCGTACTTTAAGTCCTGGATATTCTTACAATTAGAACTGGTCTTTGGATGACTATGACAACTTTTTCTCTGACGTTATATTATACATAATATGAAAACGATTTAGGACAAATCGATTAGGAAAGCACAAGATGCTATTAAAAAATATTTTGCATTGCTAATGTGCGAAATACATCGAATAACGCATATGTGTGTGTGTGCAGCAAGCCTAAAGTTCAGAACACCATGCCGTTACCGGCTCTCAATTGTTCGTTGCGTAATGTTCGATCGGCGATAATCCGTTCGCCGCGCCACCGTAGAGTAGTGCTTCACCTATTAGCTTTCAGTTACATTGCTAGCGAGCAATATTTAAGTCGATCGATTTAAAGCTTAGGCCAAACGGAAATTCAATAAGCGAAGGATCGATAAAGGAAACGTTTGCATGGTATTTTCGCGTCTTCGCGGTGTGATATTTTACGGATCTGGCAGAGCAACATTCAATCGCATTTATGCTACTGATTTTAGGAATCATTGTACATTGCATCTCTAAATCGTTCGTATTTTATGATAACGCGCTTATTTGTGACGTAAGTTACCGTTGAAATATGTTTGCTGCATTTTACGAAGTTAGTTCTTTGACAGTGAAACTTCTAAATTCTAAGCTAATAGTGAGGTAATATTGCATTGTATATATATATATATATATCCAATATAAGAATTATTCTTGAAATCAAGATGGGAGTTTTTGATTAGCCGTAGTCACTAATCTCAAGTAGACGAATGCTACACATACACTTTGTCTCCAATGTCTGCATACATGTGTATGCACACGTTTTCAATATTTTACGGACTTTCATTTATCTTTATTCAACACTGTACAGGTTCCATATCTCCTGCCTTAATTTTATTGGGTTGGCAACTAAGTAATTGCCGATTTCAATTATAGATGTCTCTCACTCCCATTTTTATGATATCCGTAAATGTTATATTATAAAATTATTATTATTATTATTATGTTATTTTTTATTATCCGTGAATGTTAGCAACTGGACAAGTTGAGTGCATCGGTCAAGGAAAAGCGACCAGAATTGGTCAATCGTAAAGGTGTCATTTTCCAGCAGGACAATGCTAGGCCGCACACGTCTTTGTCCACTCGGCAAAAATTGATGGATATTGGTTGGGAATTGATGTTACACCCTCACGACGATGACGCTGTAAAATCTCACGTAACTCAGTTTTTGGCCGAAAAGGATCAGACTTTCTACGAGCGTGGAATTTTCAAGTTGTC